AAGATAATAATACCTATGCGAAATAACGAAAATTAAGGACATTAGAAGAATTCAATAATATTCTTCCATTCTCTCCAATTCATTGAAACCATCAGAAGAGGAAACATATTTTTATGCAGCTTCTGCGTTTTACAATTGTCTCGGAAAATTTTTATATTGCATAAAGATCCGCAGTCTAGTTATGGACGACAATTAATAATTTCTGAGGAACATAAATATATGAATACTATAAGTTTAATAAAAAAAAAATATCAGGAGATGATTAAAGATGGCATTAGGGGACTTTATAATTGCTATGCCATAATATTGCTTCGATTAATGTAAAATGTATACGCACGATGAGTTAAGATATCGTTCCGTCAGATATAATTATATATATATTGTATATCTTGTGCTCGTTCGAGAACTAATAATTCCGTACATTAAAATCGCTTTCACTGACATTTAAACGTATAATTTTTAGAGCATCAAGAATACGTATAGCATTTCAATCCTCAAAACAATCACTCCAAGTTTTCCACATGTGTACAGTAGTACGAACTCGATCCGTCTTTCCGACTTACAACACCCTAGCTCGGATTATAAAAAATCTGTCTGCCCTAATTCCTCGAACGTTGCAAATCGTTTTACAATTCCATGAGATTCGTAAACAGAAGAAATTGAATAACAATGAGTGATTATGATTAATGTATGCCCGTCGTATATACATTTCAGAAAGCGGGAACGATAACACGACCCAGGGTTACGTTACACTTGCTTCGGATCGGTCTCGAATGTTTCTTTCATCTATCTATCCGTTTGAATGAAAACCTTCGTCCGTTCGTTTCACCACTCGGTAATTGCTTCTACCTTCGCAAGTAATCTTTCCCCGTGAATTCCATTAATGTAGCGGATATATAACTTACGTCGGTACAACGGCCGTGGAAACCGGAGTTTCGAATCGTATCAGATACACGGAAAATTGTACGTTGATTGTACTTGCAAAAATTCTTATAACGAGACAATGAAAGGATTACGTGCACTGGGAAGGATGAAAACGCTATTTTTCCTAGTAAAAATTTTATATATGATACGAATGTTATATACGGAGTGATATTAATAATACGTAAACACAATATATCCGTTGAAATTATTTTTCAATTAAAAATTTAATTTCTTTTTATTTTTATTACGTACGATTACGAATTTATGTATTAATTTATGTATAAGCAGTAGCTAATTGTTTTTGAAACAACTATGAATACGAATTTCTGTAACGCGCCAACAATTTTGCTACCATCGTTTCCAGATAACACGATTTCTCGTAAAACGTGCTGTGTAATAAAATTAAAATATGTAAAAACGAACGGTTAATTACATTGGAACGAAGTCGTTAGTACGTAACGTTACACGATTCGAACAGTGATGAATAGACAGCGGATCTTTATGCAAAATAAAATTTGTCTACCTCAATTGCAATAAATCTCAGACGAATAAAAATGGTCTCGCTCTGTTAATAAATTGAGTGGTGTACGTTGGAAATATAATTTAACAGCATTTTTAAATTGTTCAACCGTTATCATTGTTTCATATTTCACTCGCTGATTTGTCTCATAAGTACATAAAATAAACCATCTAGTGATTAACGATCTATACTGCAAAAGTGTTTTTTTCCGGTTTTGTTCAACTATGTAATTGTAACTACAGAACTTTTTGAATTGTTCAACAAAATGTTTCGTCCACGGGCAACAGCAATAATATGCACCAGTGTCCACGAAAAACACTAAAAATTAGAACAACTTTTTTAATAATATAAAAGTGGAAAAAAACACGAGATTTATCATAACAATTGGTCTTGTTAGCTCTTCACACCTCGTTGATCCTAACAGAGGCTGGCTTACTTGATAGCTTGTCATTAAAACGAATTTTCAAGTTTGATAAACAAATTGCAATAGTTATATATGATTAGATTACGGATTTCATGCGTTTATGATAGATACGACAAGATCAAATGCAAAACAGTAAACGCGTTGAAGGAATTTGAAAATACTATTGCATTATTTGCAGTTTAATAAAATAATTAAGGAAATGTCTACGTCTTCCTTGGACGTTCGCTGATAACATTTAACGCTGAATGTACCGAACATTTAAAATCAGCTGATAAGTGTTGCCTCAGAAAAGCGATTCAATTCAATTTGTTTAGATTTTGTGCGATCTTTATTGTTTTCTTTCAAATAAGCTGACGCAAATTTCTTATCAACGTTTAGACAGTTGCACATAATTTTTTAAATTACTAAATATATTTTAAATAACACAGCTAAAAATAACCGATACATTTATCTCAGAAGTGAAACTGATTAAATTTTGAATACCTTTTGAATCGTCTTTACAACTACAAGAATTGTAGAACATAAAATTTTGAACTGGCCGTTTCATCATTGATGGCACGCCGGTAATCAAAAAGTAATTTCGATGTCTGGGATTATAAATTCGTTGTACGAGAAATTATGCTCCGTAAATAGCATAATTACATAAACGTATTTTCAAAGAGTGGATTCGTCATCCGTCATTACATACATGAAACCTCTCAAAGTAGAATTCGAATCTCTTCTTCTCTCTCGGCTCTCGCACTACGGTAAACACGCGAATTTTGTTTACACAGTCAATCGAAGGTGTAGTTGCCGGTTTGATCGCACGCGTGCGCAATTGTTCAGCTAGGATGAAAGCAAAGTGTACATACCCCCAAGAGCGCAAGCTCGAATTCGGCTGCTTCCGTAAATCCTAGCGAAGCGCACTCGAAATAATTGTGCATACAGGAAGACACCATTCGAACGGCGAACGATTGGTTCACATGACCGACCCAGTAGTCCTTGATTTACGTCCCGTCCACCGAAAATCGTTCGCGAACGATGATCCAGCCGTGGCTGCAAATGCGAGACTACCTTTGGAGCGATCCCGAAAACGTACCAGTATTTACACTCCGAAACGGATCCGACGCGAGCGGAACGGAGCGCGTTCCAGTAAATGCAGCCGGCACGAAGGATTCAGACCGACTAACCGGCTTTCCACGTCGAGGCACACGCGAACCGAACCTATACCGCGCGGCCTCTTTAAACTCATCCCTCTGATAGGCTCGTGCGGAACCCACCAGGTGAGTTCCTCGCGACCGAACGCGAACGCGAAGGTGTGCGATGCCGACCGCGACACCTACACCGCTCGACGAAATTTTAACGCGCAGTGGCCATAGCGTTTCGCTTATATGGCTGTTCGGGACAAAAATCGTAACTTCTGAATTAATCGATTTTTCGATCCAGGTGCCTTAAATAATCTTTCAAAGAGGATAAAAAGATACATTGTTTTGCGTATAAAAATTATACGATTTCGTAAGAAAAATTGTAGTCACCTTTATTTTTCATTGAACTGATAGTTTTATGCAAAATTTTCATTGACGTAATATATGTGTAAATAATGCGTTTTGTGGATCTCGGAAACATTTATATGCATGTTGAAAATTTCGTTTTTTTTTTGTTATTTCAAGCAATGGAACAATTATTGAAAGGTTCTCGTCGCATTCACCTGAACAACTGTAGAAAGTCTTTCAAATATTCGCGTATAGTTGTCCACGATTTGATCGAGTAGGTTTATGATGTTCCGCGTTTGACGCGGACGACTTTATGTGCGTGACTGAATAAAATTTTCTCAACTATTTTTGACCTAGTTCACACGAGATATGCTATATGAAAAAGTATTACGCGTCTAGCGTAAGATATCATATCATCTGAACGATTTTACGATTATTACCAAATAATGTAACAATGGCGTACCGTATCTGCAGTGAGATATCCCATTATACAAGCATATTTTAAGATTACCTCCTTTTATACGGTGGATGAATTTGACATAAAAGGTATAAGGTATAGAATATAAACTTTGTGCTACTTACACGAAAACGAATAATAGAGGAAGAAATTTAAAATACATATAGCACTTCATTTTATAACAAAATTTTATTCAATGAAAGGATGAAAAAGATATCGTTCAAACGTAATGAAAACAGAATATATTCAGTAATATATCGTAATATATAGTTGTGTATAGTTATAAATAGTTAATATATGCATAGTTATATATAATTATATATAATTGTATAATTGTAGATTTCTCTTGTTAGTGTGTATCAGAAAACGTAATGCTAAAGCTTAGCCAATGATATATGTATACAATATAGGAATATATACAAGAAATGTACATGCTAGGAATATACAAGAATAACGAAAAATAAACATTATAGTTATTTTCATCACAGTTAGGAGTAACATAAGAAATTTTTGCAATAATTAATGTCTTGTTGTTTAGGAATGACAACAACAATAAATTGAATCGGTTTTGCACCACGTCCAATACTTGACAATATCTACTATATTCTTTATTTTCTAATATTTTGTCAACAACCATTTTGCTTGCACAATTGCACTAATTCGTTTTGGCATACTTTTTCACTAATTTTCTGCAATAATCCGATGATATTTGTTCCCACTGTTTTTGAATTCTATTATACAAATCTGTGATTAAAGTTGGTTAGGAGTTATATGAATCCCGAAGTCGTTTTTTTTAGTAAACCTCATAGATTCCCTATGGGATTGAGGTCCGGGCTCTGCGCAGGTCAATCCAGAACAGAGAATTTTTTAGTACTGAGCCAAGTTTTTGCACTTTTAGCAGTGTGCTTAGGGTCTCGGTCATGCATGAAAATTACATTTTCTTCTTCAAAAGGCATATTTTCAACAGTCTCTATGAGATGATCATGTAAAATATCCTTGTACATGTACTGATTCATGATGCCATTAATTCGTTGCAGCGATCCAACATCAAATGCTGTTAGGCACCCTCAAAACATTAGGGATCCGCCTCCATGCTTTATCGTTTGCTTTACATGTCGTGCTTTAAGCCTTTCATTTTTACGAATTCAGCACCAAGACATGCCATCTGAATAAATTCTGTTAATTTTGGTCTCGTCTGACCAAATAACCCGTTCCTATTCAATAGTTGTCCTTTTTTGGTATTTTTTGGAAAATTCCAAACGAAGTTTAATATTCTTCTTCGATAACATTAGCTTCTCTTTTATTTTAAGGCTTCTAAACTCAGCTCCTTTGCGGGTTCTCCGTACTGTCCATTTGCTTGTTTGTACATTCGTATCTTCTTTTAATAATTTTGCAGCCATAGTGGCATTTGAAGCTTCACCAGATGTGACAAATCGTATAATTCTTTGTTCATCCTGCAGTGATAATTTTTCTGGTCTCTTCCTCCAATATTTAATAATATACTTTTACAGTATTTTTTTTTCTTATTCTCTGCACTGTCGATTGACTAATACTGCGCTTTCTCGCCGTCTGGCGCGTTGACACGCCGTCATTCAAAAGAGAAATTACTTTTTTTAAACAATATGGTGCAATTGACT